TTGCTTGACATGTTGTATACTGGCCAGGAGTTGGGCAAACGCCAAACATATGCTAGGAAGGCTTCAAGCAATATCTTGACAAATTACAACATGAACATAACAGGATTTGAATGGACATCTGCCAAACATAAATTTGATATGTGCAACATCCTGTACGCAGGAGCAGGTACGCTAGACACGCGCTAGGACTATGGCTGAATATGATTGGGAGGCAAGCCGTGCGCTTGCGCACGCCGACCTGCAACGCACTTGGTGTCTGATGTAGGCTTGTCTCCTAGGAGAATCCCGGCATGGGTGATATCCCATTAGTCAACCCCAGTACTTGCCATGACACTAGCCTGGCCTGCAGCTCCTCCAGCAACTTCTTGGCGCGCTTGCAGAAGGGGCACGCCCTGAAGCGGGCAAGCCATCTGGCCGGGAAAGCGAGAAACGAGCAGCCTGCTATTGTCGTTTTGATTTGATAAGCGAGTTGGACTGGAGAACGAAGTCCCAAGCAAATTGGCCATCCCCAGCAGCGATGGGCAGCAACCTACTAAGTGTCCGGGCGGAACCTCCGAGTGGAGTCTGAGCCCCGGGCGTCTTGGAGATCAGGAAGCATGCGTTGGTGTCCTCAGCTTCCGTTCGAACAAAGCTGACAGATGATGCATCACAGACCAGGCTTCACAAGGCACACAGCAAAACACACAAAGATACGTACGGTATATCTACATATATATATATAGTACATACCTAGATATACATATCTAAATAAACATATATGTATAAGTATGTCACCCTTAGCAGGGCCAACTCCGAATACACTTGCTGCAGTTCATCACACACTTGTGTCGTGTGCATGGTAGTGTAAATTCGGATGTTGTTGAGTTGTTTCTTCTTCCTGAATTCATTTAGTTATGATAAGTATTTGCACCATAAACGAAGACGGATTGCATTTTGATTTAGGTCCCATATTTCAAGACATACCCAAATGGGTGTGGCTTCTTTTGAGGGTACCACTTTTGGGGTTGCTTCACACGGAAACCAGAGGGACGCCACTTAGGGGTTCCCTCAAAAAGACCCACCCATGTCGTCCCCGACACGGCCGCAGGATCCTTTTCCAATGACAAATTAGTCATTGGAGATGCTTGGGCTCACCTCAGCATCCGGAATGCTTGGTGTGTGTGTGTGTGTGCTTTTTCTTCCCTAAGGGTATGTTTGTTTCCTAATAGTTTTACAATCATGTTTTTTTTCTACGCTTCAACAGTTTCACCTGGTTGTTGAGTGGCATTCTGGAGCGAAGGATCTTTCAGTTCAGAACGGGGAAGCTACCGCTAGAGCCGCTAGAAAAAGTATGGGTCGTTTACTTGCAGTGGAGAGAGGGGGCTGCAAAGAACCAATATATTTGCTGATATTTCGCAGGTTGAGCAGAAGTTGTCTCAGCATTCGGCGTCGTTGGCAGCTTCCCTTAAAGCGTAAAAGGCAGGGAATACACACACACACAAACAACATAGGGTTTTCTTGTTCAAAACATGCAAGTGGGCACGCAAAGGAACATATTTGAATGTTGCACACTTCAACCCAGGACACATGCAACAGGTCTGACAGCCGGAGGCTTCAAAACCAGCACTGGGAGAGCAAATATGCAGCTCTAGAGGACAAACGACTCCAAGCTTGAAGCCCCAAAACCATGACAGAGACAACCGCAATTAAGGCAAGACACAAGGTGTTGTCTCCACCAAAACAAAGGGACATGCCTACAAACATGTGGGTTGTGGGAGGAGGGTGAGCATGTAGCATGCTGACATATGTATATGGATATATCTATACTCACATATATAATATATGTATATATATATATATATATATCACACACTATGTACCAATGATCCACGCTGGCACTTGTGCAACCCATCGTAAACTATTGTTTCTTTTTGCCCATTTTGAGACCAATCCGAAGCCCAAGACATGTGCAAGACCCCTTCCATCGGCGCGTCTTGTTTACCAAGGGGCGCTAAGATCCTGCACCAGTCGCGCAGCATCCCCGGAGGCTACAAAGCCCTGGCAAGCTGTGGCAAAGCGTGCGCACGGCATAAATCTGACTCTCAGACCATGGCACTGCAATGCTCGCCTTGGGAAGGGCAATCGTTGCTTGTGGGACAGGCAATAGTCTTTAGCAATACTCGAGCTAGTCGCGATGTGGCGATGCCACAGAGCCACATTTAAGTTGGACAGCAATCAACAAAGACAATAGGTAGTTCGAGATGGATGGCTGACATGTCTTCAACACCATCTGGTGTCAAAACTAGAACACCCCTTTTTAAGAAGCCGCTGCCATTTGGCGGAGAGGCCGGGTTTTGGACACATTCCCTCTCACCCGCGCCCCGCGCTGGGCCGAATGGGGCCTCCAAAGCGGGCGATGATCTGAGAACCTGACTGTGCCGCAAGGAGGCCTTGTATCGGGCGTTCAGGTGGGGGAACCTTTGGTAAGCTTGTCCAGCCGCCACTCTGCAAAAGAAATGTCGCACTGCAACATTGGGATTTCAAGAAACTTCGGACATCTTTCATCTGCGCCACCAATTCCCAAGAAAGGGGGTAGGATGCAGCAATATAGGCACAACAAGCAGATGCATTACATGCCGTGGTTGGGGGAAGGGAACGGGAAGCAACGCGGACAAGCATTGTGTGTTCACACTGTTGACAAGTTGCTGATTTTGGGGTCGTCTGACCCACTGGGGGGAAGTTTTGCGTCAACATATTTCATGAAGGGTTGGAGGAGGTACGACTTGATTAGTATTGTGCGTGCTGTGTCGCCTGGACTAAAAGCGGCATTCCATTGTTAACATAAATACCAAACACAATGCTGGCAAGCTGTGGGTGTCTCTTGTGATGTGAAAGCTTTTGGGCCAAACACACACACACAGAGTGTCTCTCTCCTGATAGTTGCTGATTTTGGTTCCTTGACCCATGTGAGACAAGTTGCGCTTCTTTGGCTCTTCCTTGAACTGTATGACCACACATGCCAGCTCCACTGGCTGAATGTGCGGTTTCACAGGGTTCACACAACGGCAAATCCAGACTACCAATGCAAACTTCTGCGGACGGATCCGGAGGAGGATACAAATCAGGGGTTCCTCAGATGAGCCATCCCAAGCTGACATTCAACAGATCCCAGCTATCTTGGGACACCCCGTGGCTGAACGTCAGACCACAAGTTCGCGCCCGAACTCGCGAAAAAAGGCGCCTGAACGCTCAAAGTGCGGTGCCAAAGCCTGCCAGGGGTGGCAAAACTGGCTCAGACTCCAAAGCCTTGGCTCGTTGGCCAGCGAGCCTCTGGAAATACTTGTTACTTCTGACTGCAGTGAAATGGTTGGGGCCCAATCGTTGGGAGGGAACCAAACGGAACTGTTTATGACCGGTGCTTTGACGCCGCATCTGTCTGGATGGGCCCCTTCTTAGACCGGCTCCGCTGGTCCAAACAGGTGCTAGGCCTGGCAGCCGGCACACGCCGCAACATGGCGCGATGCGAAGCGAGATGGGTGCGGGGTCCTTACGTGTCTCGTTGAGCTTCCTTCGGGTGAAAACTCAGTTGAGGATGGGAAACAACCGAGATCATCTCTTTTAAGGACACCCTTTTGGGGTGGTGTTAGAGAAAAATCACAAGCACAAGGACACCACACATGTTTTTGGGTTCACTATTTTGAGATGCACCCAAAAGGTGCTGTTGACATATTGCCACTGTGGTTGATCCCCGATCCAAAACCATACCTGCAACGGCCACTGGATACATGAAAACATCACTGCTTATGATGTAAGCAGTGTTCTAGGGACAAAAAGCATATCAGGCATCGTGTAGTATCGGGTGATAATAAGATCAACAAACAAGCGGAAATCAATGATTCATTTGGCTGCTGTCCAGTGCTGGGCTTCCCATTTTCTGCCCAGATTTCAGCTGCACGGCTCTTAGCCAATTCCGAGCATTCGGCCGATCCCATCAAATCACACCTCCTCAGGGTGGGCTTTGAGCCAAATCCCGACTGTGGCTTAGGGAGCAAAGCGCCAAATGAGTCAGACCGCTCTTAGAGGCCACAGTAAGGCAAATGCTCTCTTCAACACCTCAAACTCGCCGTCTAGAAAGCTGGGAAATCAGGACCATCACCTGCTGGAAGTGGTCAATTAACTTCTATCCAATGACCAATAGCTCAACTGTCAGTACAGCTAGTCTGTCTGCGCTGCGAATGCGTGTATATCAGGTTTCTTGCATAGTTTCATGTGTGTCTGACCACCGTTGATTTCTGATTCGATCCAGCCTCGATTCTTTCGGGGGGAGTCCTTCACAATTTCTTAAGTGGTTGCATTTCGACGGACTCTCAAGACTACTTGGTTCCTGTCAAAACCCCATTTGGGTTCATTATGTGCTTCTCGGCTACTCCCATGCAACTCCATGTTAATCCGTGGAGTATTGGATGTCTGCCTTTCCGCTGGTTCTGAATCATTTAAGGGTTTTGCAATCGCCTTTGGATCATTTGCTCAAGGTTTTCTGGGTATTCAGGTTGTATTCGCAGGGCTTTCACTGCCCCCCATTATGTTGCCAGTATCAAGGTCTCCACCGGAGTGCAGCTTCCCCCTCTTTGGCGGTTTGGAGGTTAGGCGGTCGTTTCTCATTCACCCTCTCCAAGCACCAGAGATTCAAATTCCCAAACCACCAATCCAAGCCGCCAATTGGGGGCTACCGGATAAGGTTAGAGGGAACCACCCAACCAGTTGCTGACTTTGACAGACGGCATACCAGTGAACAACAGCCCAGAAATCGTCATGTCTCAACAAGGGGCAAGTTCAAAGGTCAAACCAAAGGGCTAAGTTCAATGGACATGACCAAAGTTTCTATTTTTTTCAAACACGTACACACATGTCTTTTTTTGGCTTTTATAAACAAACCAAATTGTGCACACATGGTAACATATATGCACATAACAATGCTACCAGGGCCGGCAGGTTCGTTTGACATCGTCCTGTCGGAGCACCTCTCCAGCGCCGCCTTCTGATCGCCGCTGCGCGCCTTGCCGATGCCTTCCCTCACCTCAGAGGGGTCGATCGGCGACCAAGGATAACCAACCACCCAATAGCTAGAACACATTCGAACCAACCCAACTCCCCGCCCCCTGGTGACCCTTTTGGGTGACTTTTTTGGGTGACCCTGCAAATGGCTCGACAGGTAGAAACGGGGAGCCGATTTTGGGTCGACCAGGTTTAGTGGGTACGCCCCCCAAACTTGGCTGTGAATTCCCTCAACGCCAATTCTTGGGTTAATTGCGTTGTTGATCATTAAGTTGTGACGACCCCGTCTGTTTGGTGCTGATTCAATAGGGACCACAAAGGCCACTGACTCCTCAGAAGTGACCGAGCTTCTGGGTGCTTCAAGGGAAACATCCTGCCAACGCGTTTTTTGGGGAATATTTTGGGAACTCAAAGCCAGAAACAACACGGTGATCAATCGCGCCTTCGTGGCAAATACTGGGGGCGCCTTTACTTTTTTGCCCATATGAGCCCCGGACAAAAACTACTTGCTTCCTAAATGGACAAAATAAAATCGGGTTGCAGAGCGCAGATAGTCCAGGCGACCTGAATTTGAACCAGCTATCTTGACCCATTGCCAAGGGCAGCAACCCGCCGGAATCAATAATTTGTGTCAGGTGAACCAAGGGCAACCCCCAAGTAACCAGATCTCAAGATCATAGAACGATCCCTCCCCTTTTTCCCGTAGGTCCCGACGCGGCGGTCCGCCCAGCTGCGGCTTTGGGTGCGGCTCAGGCGCGTGCCGCGGCCCCTGAGAAAACGAGAGCTGCGGGCATTTTAGGGGGGGGTGGGGGTGGGGCGTGGGATTCCCTTGGCTTTCCTCTGGCAAAATGGTGGATGATGGTGGGATTCCATTGGTTTCCCTTAGACAACCATTTGATTTCTTTAGCTTCCCAACTTCCCCCCGGAAGGTGGGCCCCGTGGGTGGCCCGGGAAAACAAGTGGGTTGCTCGTTGCTCTTGGAGATGGGTACTTATTGTTTTGAGCACGTCGAGCTCGTTGCTGGAGGTGGGTTGCTCGTTGCCCGAGCCCCCGAGCCCCCGAGGCCCCGCCCCCGGGTGACGCACGTCTGCGACGGCAACAGCTTCCCAAGTCCCCCCCTCCCCCCGAAAGGAACGGAGGCCGCGCGGGAAAAGACTCCGAGGAGGAAGCCGCAAGTGATGGGTTGATAAGGCTTTTTGTTGCCCCCCTGAGGCGCCCCAATCACGCAAGAATGCTCTGATTTGGCTTTATCAAGATTTGGGGGGAGCTTTGGGGGAGGGAGATAGCACCCTGTGATAAAATCAAGGAGTTTGGCCGAAACAGATTCTGAAGCAAAAACCACTTTCCGAGCTTGGTTTGCCATTGACGGCAACCAACACATCATGTGGAGGGAACAATCACAGTCCACGGGGTTGTTGGTTTTGGTTGAGTGAAGACATGGGTTTGGGGGTCTTTATCTTTGCTTAGTCATTCAGGGTTTTGGCTTTCAGGTTTAGTTTATGGTGCATTTGGGAGCCTCGCCAAGCAAAGGCCAAACGTGTGTTTTCGCTTGTGCCGCCTTCGAGTTGAATTGCGACCTGTCACCAGCCTTTACGAACGCGGAGGTTTCAGTTCCAAAGGCTCCTCCCTTTGCCCGAGGCTTTCTTGCGGATTGATCGTCAAAGGCACAAACTAGCCGTGGGCCAAACCCTTCCAGCCTTCGCATGTGACAGCTGGATTGACCCTTCTGCAAACCAGAAAAGCCATCCCAACCCTGCAATTGTAAAACATCTCTGTGGCTGATGCCCGAAATGCTGTTCGACGGTTGAAACAGAAACCACAGGACACCAACCACGCGGCGAGGATTTCCCAACCGAGATGCATCCATTTGGACGTGTCTTTTCAGACTACTCTTTTGGGATGGTTGAAAGAGAAAACAACCATTTGGGTTTCATCCATCCCATCTTGTACATGGATTTCGTCCGTCCACAGTATTTGGGTATGTGTTTTTTGGAGGCGCGGCCACCTTTTCGGGGTTGGTGTGAAGGAAAACCAAAAGGACAACCAACACTTTTTGGCTCTTGGTTGGTAAGCTTCCCGAAGGCCTTGGGTGGGACCACCTTCCCCCCCCCCCCCCCCCCATTTTGGTGGGATTTTGTTTGGCGCTCAGCCCCGAGGGCAGCACAAGGCGGAGCCTGGCCAAAGCGGGGGCTTTGGTTCCCCCGTGGTCGGAACACCGAACTCCGCCGGGTTTCGGTGGTTCCGGACCTGTTCCTTTCAAGGAAAACGACACTGGCCTGAACAAACACCAACCTTGCTCGGAACCATCTCAACAACAGCACAAAATTTATTTCACAAATAACACAGACCTCTTTGTGGTTTTGGTGAATCAATTTGTCAAGTGTTTCTCATGGTTGGTGATTTTGTTAAAGTTATTATTGGTATATTTTAAAGTGTATTTAAATGTGTATTTTTAGGTGTATTTAACGGCGTATTGTAGGTGTATTGTAGTAGGGTTTAGGGTTTAGGGTTTAGGGTTTAGGGTTTAGGGTTTAGGGCAAGGGAGATCTTCAGGGAAGTGATTCCCTGCTTACGGCACGCCTTTTGGTGTGAAAATGAGGAGACCGGCCCAAACAAACATAAACAACTCCGTTCCGGTTGGTTTTCCGTTGAAACCCACCAAAGTTGCTGGTTCTCAGTGAGCTGCAAGAGTTGTGGGAATGAACCTTGGAATCCCCAGAAAAGAAACCACAAGGGATGGTTCAGTAGGGTCACTCTCGCAGTCCCTGAGAACCAGCAAGCAAAAACGCCGCCAGCTCAAACCTTTCGATCGGATCGCCTTCGGCCTCAGGCGCGTCCACCTAAAATGCGGAGCCGGCGTGCGACCGGGTTGACGGCGCTGATTTTTTCAGGGGCTTTCACGGGTGAACACCCATAATTCTTCTGAACGCATCCAATCTGAAATGGGTGCCCTTTGGCGCCACAACAAAAAACAATCCCAAAAAGGGGAATCCAAGGAAGGCCAAAATCGCTTGATGGTCCCACAAGGGATGTCTCCAAATAGGGGAGTCAGCCTGAGGGTGCCTGGTGAGTTCTTGTGGCGTTTGGTTTCTAGGGTGTTGGTAAATGGCTGTGGGTCAAAAGCGATGGTACCATTTGGGGTAGGTGCATCACCCATTTTAGAACCTATTTCAGTTGGGATGTTCACTGGGGCTTTTGACCCATGGCCATATGACCGGGAGCTTTCCGCAAGTTGGTCCTGGCGCGGGCTTCTTCTGGGCCTTTGCCGCCTTTGCCATCCGAGGCAAGCGCCAGGCTGCCGTGGAGGGACACCAGGCCCAGGTCCTTTGCCTCGCCGGCGTGCGTGCCGGCTGAGTTGCAACATTCTCCTCTCATATCCATACACATAGACACACATATACACATATATATATATATATATGTATATATGCACATACACATACACAATTACAGACATACACTCAAACAAAACACATATTGAATGGTGCGCAACTCGAGTTGCACTAAGACTAGCGTTTGGATGGAGTTCTTTTTGCAACAACTGAAAGGGCGCAGCAAGTAGCAAACACCCGGCAAAGGCGCTTGAAGCAGCTTTGAAGAAGTAGGCCTGTATCCAAACAAACACAAAATAATCGAACCAAAATTGACAATAAATTTGTGCCATTATTTTCAGCGGGGATCCTTCTTGGGGACCTATGTGGCCTTGGGCCTTGCCCCTGTTCCGTTGCTTCGGCTGTGATTGAGCTTCTCTACAACTCGGAGCATAAATGCCTCATCCAGTTCGGGGGTGTGCTAATGGTTCGAGGGACCGCTTGGACTGGAGGCAAGCCAAGCCATCCGTATCCATTCCTCAGGGATTTTCCGTCTGAAAAACGCCCAGATGGAAGTTCCCCGTCCGTTACCAAAAGAGATACGGTCGAGGGGGCGTCCTCAGCGAGCGGATCAACTCGACGCGCAGGATCAATGAACCCCCGATTGATGAATGGGCCAATCCACGTGACATCCTCAAAATGATGGCTTCAAGGAAAACCACATCGGGACCCGGATGCAATTTTCAGAACCCCTGACAAAGTTCACCTTTTGGGGCCCAGATCACTTTTGGGGGGTTGATCCACCTAGCATTGGACGTTGGCAACTCTCACTGGTGGGACTTGGGTGGTGTGACCAATGTCATCCCCTTCTATAACATACATGCATGGATGAACATATGAAGGTACGCTATGCATGCGTGCGATCTTCATCATATATTCATGTGTACATTAATGTGACCTGTGAATATTAGCCGTGCTGCCCAACTCACAAGCCGGAAGCTTCCAATAGACACCTGCCTGTCGAATTGCGGGAGGACCACACGCAGATCTTGCCTCTGCCTGAGAAACCACGTCAGGGGCCGTCTCTGGTGCATCCCCAAATTCGACAGAACACTTTGGATGCCCCAGCCACCCAGCCATGGATCTCAGTTTCACTCTTTCAACATGGCTGTCGGATGCGCTGGGCCGTGGTTGGCAGTAAACACATAGGGAGTTTCGCAGCAATCACCGATCCCCCCGCTTTCCTCCGAAGTGGCGTTCAACCCAGGGTTGCTAGTTGCGAAGCCGCAGCATGAGGGCAAAACCGAAGATGCCACTCCCACCAGGTTGAAACGTGGAAATGCCTCTCCTGGAAAGAAAGCTTCATGGGTGGCGCAACTACTTTTCTGGAGAGCGGGCTTGGGAAGGATTGCCCCATTGGTCAAAAAATCCGGCAACTGCGAGGGTGTCCTTGCTCCCATCTAGGGCACCCACCGTACGGTCCGTCAGCGTGTTAAGACATTTAATGCAGCAAGAAATTCAACCCTCAAGTTCGACGCTCAAATGGTCCAGAAAAAAAAGAAAGAAAAAACAAACACGGGAATGATTGGAAACGCTCCGAATCCGAAGCCATCCGAACCTGAGCAACTCGAGCCCCCGAGCGAGCAACCGAGCCGAGCTTGACTGAAGCTCGCCACTTCGATGGCCACGGGGCCCGACCGGGAACACCGGACGCCCGTTTTTTTCCTCCTTTTTTTTCTCATACATTTAAACAGGGTCTCACTTAATTCAAGTCATTCCAAAGAAGTGGTTGCTTAAATCTACCAAATTAGAAAACCGGTCAAGACTCGGGATTTTTTTGTCCAATCAAACGATTAATAAAACACACGGTTCTTGTTTTAACATACCGCTCGACCGTAGGTTCTTCGGCCCTGGTCTTTGACCGAAAGACTTGGTCAGGAACTGCAGGGTGGGCCAAGCCCTTGCTGCATGTTGACAACTAAGATCTGGTTGTTTACACCTATTTTGCCCGGGACTGGAACAAGAAGAAATGCAACAGGGAGGAGGAGCTGACACTTGGCGTAGAATAGCCCGGGCAACAGAAGCACGACAGGAGAAATTCGTTCATATCCCCAAGCCGCTCTCATTAGGCAAGAGGCTGCTGCTGCACTTTGGCATGGATCTTGTCGCAAAACGTCAGACACACCGCCCTGGCCAAAGCAAATCGAGCGCAGGGGTCTCAACTAACAAACAAGGAGGGGCAAACATTATGAGCAATCAAACACTTCTAGTGAACACGCTCAGTCAGGATTGAAGTATACCAGCCTTCCTTGTCAAGCCAATTAGCCAAAACCAATGGGTCCAGTGCCAGGGTTCATCAGCAACTCTTTCGGATGGACCAAAGTCGTCCGTGGGCCTGGAGGCCCATGCTTCCCGCATCCCTGAGAAACAAGAACACGTCCATGTTGAGCGGCTTAGTTGAAACAAGAGACATAAACCAAAAGAAGGTTGGTCCTGACTCTTTCGCCCAAGCGTTCTTCGTTTTGGTCTGGCTGCAATGATGTGAAACGCTAAGAGGGCACTTTCAAGCCATATGCCTTGCAGTCTGCTTTCAACAAGTCCTTGGAATCTGTCCGTGCTTGGCTTGAAGTGGAAGAACACATGACCAAGCGAGCCAGGGAATCGATATGAAGGGTGTCCGTGCACCAACTGTAGCGAAGCCTGAAACGGGTTGGTAGTAGAACTCGCAAGCCAAAATAACTAGAATGCCCTTCTATGTTTTTGTTTAAAGGGAAACCACGCTTCGGCAGGGGGTTCCCTTGGAGACAAAGCCATTGTGCATAGAACCCTGCAGGAGTTGGTAATTAGGTGGTTTATCCCAGTTTTCATAAGAGAGTGGCGTGGATTTTGCCCACCCACGTCCATGCCTCGGGCCACTCCTGAGAAGACCCCTCCGGCCCTCAGCAAGTGAATCACTCGTGTTCTTTGCAAATGCAATGCAAACTGCGAGCAACCAGCAACAAGCGGCAGAAGTCAATCAACGTCAAGAAATACATTCGGATTAAACCCTGGAATTCTGTAGAACCTTCGAAAACAACCAACACCTTGTTTTTCTTTCTTTTTTTCGCGAAAACTGCAGCGGCAACTGAGTAGAACCAAACTGAAACCAGCATCCGCAAATGTTTATCCACTGACCTTAAAGAGGCCCTACAAATTTGAGTATGTGTCCCTGGGGAGTTGCAACCAGGCCCGGCGCCATAGGTACCCAGGGCTCGCAGAGAGGAGTTCCTGGTATGCGGGGAGCGACGACGAACAGACCCGGAAACTAAAGGTGGGGGTGGTGGACTCCAGTACCCATTCTGGGTCTCCCAAGTTGGTGGAGTTCTTGGTGGGTTTGCATGGTTTTGTATGGGTTTAATGTGGTGGGAGGGTTTTGGGTGGTTTTGTGGTAGGTCTGCGCGGGTTTTGGGTGGGTTTGGTTTGTCTTGCTTTTTTGTTTTTCTCTTATTTTTTTCTCGAATCCCCCTGATTCGGCGCGGGTGGGTCTTGTGCGAGTTCTGCGGGTCTGGGCGAGGTCGAGCCTGACAATGGGCATGCCCACGGCGGCGGACCTCGGGCTTCGAAACTCGGACCTCGGACCTCGCAACCTCGGGAACCTCGGAACCTCACACCTCGGACCTCGGAACCTCATTGTCAGCTGAGTTCTGGTCTGGGCTTACGCAATTCCATCATCCATATCAAACTTTTGAACATCAAATCATTGCCAAAGCCCTCACGACCGGTTGTCCAGCAGAAACAAGATGCTATCGCCCCGAAGTTGGCGGAACTCGGTGGACTGAGCCGGAGGCTCCAAAGTTGCTTTACAAAGAGAACTGACAGGAAAAAAACAAAGTCAGCAAGCTGCAAAGCAGTTAGAAGCTAAGTGAGCAATGGAATTCAAGCTTGCGCCGCAGTCTGCAAGTCCCGTTCAAGCCGACCGTAGCAAAGATGTGTCAAAACTTGGTCGGCCACCGATCGGAGGAGTGTTCGGCTTTGACGCATCCGAGTGACAGGGAGGCTCCCAAAGACTGCGTGCTAAGTTGGTAGTAAAAAATTGGTTGCTGGAGAAGGAACCGCAAAGGACACCTTCCACCAATTCTGGACCTTTGTTGTTTGGTCATTGCTTTGCAGCCCTGT